CGCCGGGGTCTAGCCTGCCGACCCAGGCTACCCCCGACGTCAATATTGCGTCGACGCCGACGCCCATGGAGGAGGTTGTAGAGACGATCCAGTAATGGATCAAGTCTCCAACCTCCTGGTCCAGACGAATCTCAACCACTGTGCCGCGGCGCAGGATCTCTTCCTGCAAACCATGGCACAGTGGTCGATAGGTGTTGCCGTAGTCGCGGAGCCCTATTTTGTCCCTCCCCGTCCAAACTGGATGGGTGACCGGGACGGCTCCGTGGCAGTCGTCGGCTCCACGGCTTCTCATTCCCCGCCCTTGTCGCTAAGAGACAAGGGTACTGGATATGTTGCCGCCGATTGGGGGGGGGGGAATCACCATTTATGGTGTATATTTCTCCCCCAACCGGAGTTTGAACGACTTCCAGGTCTTCCTTAACAACTTGGAGGCCTCGATGCGGCGACTAGTGTCTGGGCACGTCCTCGTGCTGGGGGACTTCAACGCAAAGTCCATTGCGGGGGTTCCCCTGCGACGGACGCCAGGGGCGAAGCCGTCGAGGAGTGGGCGGCGTCGGTGGGTCTCTGTTTGCTGAACAGAGGCTCCACCAACACGTGCGTGCGACAGCAGGGGGGGTCGATAGTGGACCTTTCGTTCGCTACCCCTGCAGTCGCCGCACGAGTAAGGAACTGGTGTGTCCTGGAAGAGGTCGAGACGCTCTCGGATCATTTGTACATCCGATTCGAGCTCTCCCGGTCCCAGGACCCCAGTAGGGGTCACGCGGCGCGGCGCCCTTCCCGCTTCCCGCGGTGGGCTATCGCCAAGCTCAACAGGGACCTACTAGAGGAGGCGGCCATTATTCACTCTTGGCTGTCTCCGCAGGCCCCGACCGAGGAGGTTGACATGGGGGCTGGTCGCTTCTGCGATGCGATTAAGCAGATTTGCGATGCGGCCATGCCCCGCGTTCGTGGTTGTCGGCCTCCAAGGAAGGAGGTCTACTGGTGGTCCCAGGAGTTGGCGGACCTCCGTGCGGCCTGTGTACGTGCCCGGAGGTCCCTCACCCGTAGTCGGCGACGTCACCGCAGGGTCGGTGAGGAGGTGGACCGGCTTCATGAGGAGTACCGAGAAGCTCGGAAAACTCTGAGGCTGGCCATCTGCCGCGCCAAGGATGCGTGTAGAGAGGAGATGCTGGAGAGTCTCGAGCGTGACCCCTGGGGTCGCCCTTATCGTGCGGTGCTCCGCACGTCGGACCCCCCCCCCCCCCCCTTACAGAGACTCTCGAACTCAGCTTCCTGCAGGAAGTGGTCGAGGGCCTATTCCTGCAGCGGGCGGAGCACACACCCCCGTCGATGGCTGCATCAGCCGGAGACGACGGGGGCAGCGAGGTTGATGTTCCGCCCGTCAGGGAATCGGAGTTAGGGCGGCTGTTCTACGGATTCGATCCAAGAACACCGCCCCCGGGCCGGACGGGGTTCCAGCCCGAGTGATGGCCCGAGCCCTCGACTACATGTCGGACCACCTCAGGGAAGTGTTGGACGCTAGCCTGGCGTCCGGACGCTTCCCTGAGCGCTGGAAATGCGGGAAGCTGGTCCTGCTGCAGAAGCCGTGACGGCCTGCCGAATCGGTCGCGGCCTATAGGCCTATCGTGTTGCTGGACGACGGGCGGGTAAACTTTTCGAGAGGGTGCTCTCTGCCCGCATCGTCCGGCACCTCTGCGAGGTTGGCCCCGATCTGTCGGACGCCCAATTCGGTTTCCGAGAGGGGCGTTCGACGATCGATGCCGTGATGCGCCTTAGGGCCGTGACCGAGGAGGCCGTGAGCTGCGGCGGAGTGGTGTTGGCGGTGTCCTTGGACATCGCCAACGAATTCAATAGTCTGCCATTCAGCTGCATCAGGGAAGCGCTCCGCTACCACGGAGTGCCGGAGTACCTAAGGCGGCTGGTGGCAGACTATCTTGAGGAGCGAACCGTCATGTACGAGGACCGAGATGGCGTCTTGAGACGCAGGGCCATGTCGTGCGGTGGTAATCTGCTACGCGGATGACACCTTACTCACGGCCCGGGGGGCTAACTTCCAGGAGGCGCGCCTGGCCGCCACGGGAGTTTCCCAGGTGGTCGGGCGCATTGAGGCGTTGGGATTACGCGAAAAAAGAGAGAAAAATTTTTTGAGACGGAGCCCGCAACAGGAGCGGGCCGGCGCTGGGAGGGGTCCAGAAGGCGATAACTACCTGGACCCCTCCTAAACTGGAAGCGCAAAGAGGGCACACCGTGTGGTTTTAGTCGGTTCGAGTCCGACACACCGCCCCGCCGAACGAAAGCCCCGAAAAAAAAAAAAAAAAAGGTGTGTGGTTCTTGCCTTTGCTTTCAGGCATCCTCTGCAAAGAGGACTGTCCGTCGCATTAATGATGAATAGTTGTCGGTTCAGGGCAAGGTGTCTTGGAGTCGTCTGTGTAAATTCAGATATCGTTTATGTCAGATTGTTATATCTCAGTGTCAGAATGTTATATCTCCTTGCGAAGATATGGTGTTTTGGGATCCTGTCGCATGGGTCTGCTGACAGTGGCTCATATTCCACCAATTAATCCCATAATATGGAGTGCGATCCCTCGCCTTTATGCCACAGACCCAGGTGTCTGAGTGTAATGATTTATCGAGTAGCCGTACAGCAGCAATGCAGGCTTTGTTTAGTTTCTCTTTGATGTGTATATTCCACAGGAGTTTACTGTCTAGTATAACTCCTAGGTATTTGATCTCTTTGGTAAGAGTCAGTTGTGTTTGAAAAAGTCTAGGAAATTTAAGATTTCGTAGAGTACGTTTGTTTGTGAACAAGATCATCTCTGTTTTCGATGGATTCACTGACAAATTGTGTGTCACACACCACTGTTCAACAGCCTTCAGTGCGAGTCTCATTCGATCGCATATAACGCTCTCAAAAGGACATCTGATCAGGATAGTCAGATCGTCTGCATAGCCTATTGTGAGGAATCTACGGTCGTTGAGTTGTGTGATTAATTCATCCACAACAATGTTTCATAGAAGGGGGGAGAGTACACCGCCCTGTGGGAACCCTCTAGTCACCACCCTCTGGTCACTTCGCTCACAGTAAATTGAATAGCATATCTTAGCATGATGTCGATCCACCCTGAGATTGTGGAATCAACACCATGTCTAGACAAAGCTTGGCTAATGCTGGTGAAATTTGTTTTGTTAAAGGCACCTTCGATATCGATAAAGGTGCCTAGTGTTGATCTTTTTTGTTTTAGGTTGCCTTCTGTATGTGATTCTACTCAAACTTAAACTCTCTTTATTTTATAAAAGTTTTAAAATTGTTTGAAATCGTATTTTATATAGACTCTCAAGTCATAGATCAACACACACAACAATCTATGTTTTGTCAAATAGTAAGGAAATAAATTTAACAAAAATCAAACCCATACAAAATTTATGAAATGCCTGTGCCGATCTACAACCGCCCGTTTCCAAGGGGTACTCGATGAAGAGCTGATTCTGTTGATTTGCCAATCGAGTATGCGTGTTGGTTATGGTGTAGTGGGTGAGTAACTAACGCAGTGCTTCTAATTTCCCTATCAATTAGCTTCTCAAGAACCTTTAATAAGAAGGACGTGAGACTGATAGGTAAGTGTAATTTAGATTGTGTGTAGTCACCTTTGCCCGGTTTGGGGATGAAGACTACTTTGACTTCTCTCCATTTTAAGGGGATGTAATGGTGTGCCAAGGCATCCTCACTAGATTTTCACGAGGTGATGCAGAACCGTCACGTCACACCATCTCAGCAGGCCTGGGAAGATACCATCCAGTCCTGGTGCCTTAAATGGAAGGAAGCTGTTGATTGTCCATCTAAGTTTGCCGTAGTTTACAACTTTGTGGGCCGTCTCCCAGTCTTATTCGCCTGGTGTTTTTTCCCACCTGTCTTCAGACGTTTCTATCACATCTGTTATGCGACATCCTGGGAAGTGTTTTCAATAACAGCTCTGAGGCTTTCAAGACTGTTTTGGTATACTCACAGAGTTTTTTGTTTATTGAACAACTTTCTCACCTTGCGACGTAGTCTTTCCAGTTGCGGTCCCCACCCGTGGTGTTTGTTCTGTGGTATCGTTCTGGGTGTAGAAAGCGGGCATGTTTGTTCAAAGTAATCGGTTAGTGTTTGTGTACGGTTGACAACATGATTGTCAATGTCCTTAACAGCTCCCTCAGCGTATGTTGAGTCAATACCCTGCAGTTTCCCTCTAGACCTCGACCACGAGTAGACGTGTCTAAACCTCGAAAAGTATTTATTTAAATCTGAAATTAAAACTCAGCCCAAATTTAAAACAGTCAACAAATAGGACCACATAAGTGCACAGGGAGGGAACGGCCTTATAGAAGATTGAAAGCCACACCCTCCTGCGCGGGCGCCACTCCTCATACAACGTGTCCACACCCACTGCGCACCACCACACCCACCAGCGAAATCAAAACCAGGTACGCGCCACTATATTAGTTGACGTCATATTAACTCCACCCCCGGGCTGACGCAAGCGCCGCCATACCTGCGGATCTATGTGATCCTAGTACTTCAAAGCATACCACAGGGTCTGGAACTCGCACACTTATAATACCTTGGATTCAAATCGTTATATCTGCGAATTACCTATCCTCTTACAATTAATACGTCACTTTCGCCGTCATCGGTCCAGCTGCTCACCTGCAACGTTACTACTCCTGTTACGTATACCCTAACTACGCTAATTCATAATGCCAATAAACCGCACACCCCCCGTCACACCGCTATCCTCAGCATCTAGCGAAGCGCCTGACAAATTAGCATCGGCAAATAGCGACACAATGCAACTTTTAATACAACAAGAAACAACGGCACCGCCCACTACTGTCGCACAACGCAAAAAAAAGAGGTAGCAACGAAGGTTACTGATAAGAACAGCGATATGATTTCTATTAACGTGTTTAACAACTTCTCCAAATAACAGGAAAACACAGAACTTAAAGAAAGTGTATTACTCATGTCTAGCAAACACGACGAGCACTTAAGGCGTATATCAAACCTAAAAACTGAAAGGAGAGAAGATAAAAAATGCATTCAACCGCTCCAAGATAGCCTGGAAAACTTAGAACGAAAATCACGGGCGTGCGGCATAGAAATTAGAAATGTACCTAAAACGAGCGGCGAAATAAAAGAAATCCTTAACAGTTTGGTAGTGAAGATAGGAAAACCTCTAGACGTCAATATTGATAGATCAAGCATTAAGGACGTATATGGAATCAACTCTAAAGATAACTCAAACCCGATAGTTATTGAATATGAGACAGTAGTTTGTAAAAACTTCATTGAGGGAGTCAAGGGCTTTAATAAAAATAAGAAAAAAACGAGAAATTGAATACTACACACATAGGATTACAACAACCAGTCCAGCCTATCTACATTTCAGAATCACTGACTAAGAAGACTCGGAAATTACACGCTCTCGCCAGAGCTTTCCGGAAGAATTACGCATATGATTTCTGCTGGATATCACACTGTATCGTTTATAACAGCAAAAAAATAGGCGACCGCCTGATTAGAGTAAACTCCGAAGGTGACCTAGAAAAGCTAAGAAACGAATTAATATGACTATTTACCCCAATATTGTATGCACGTATCACTTTTGTTTATTCAATTTGCTATGCTTGTTATGATCTCTCATATGATGATTTAATTATTCCTACTCAGATCTGTTCTATGATTAATATAATTATTATTATAACTAACACAAGTAGTAACCTTTTTTTTTTTCCGTGCGGAAATCCCCTCGGATATCACCTATCGGTGGCATGTCGGACTCGAACCGACTAAAACCGCACGCCGTCTCCGGTACTAATAGCCGGGGAACCAGGTATACCACAACACACACCCTACCTACTACTACCATACTTATATGCAAAGCCACATAACATTACATACCACAACTACTACCACACCCACACTCAAACTCACCTTAAGATCAGTCAAACAATAATCAATAACATGCCCTTGTCAACAATGAACTGCCTATTTCACCGATTAAAATGTAATCGGTCGGAAAGTCTAATCGCGCTGCTTATAAATGACCCTCAAATTCGATAACGTAAATCAGAATATGGACTGATGCTATAGCCGTTGCTGACTCCTCCTACTGCGATTTGGACGACTGTGTCCCGCCTGGCTTGAATCTAAAAAGCAACCTTAAACTAATAAGTCAAAATATACGAAGCATTAATAGGAACATTAATGAATTCGAAACTTTGCTCGTAAGAACCCGGGTCCAGTGGGATTTGACCATTTTGACGGAGTGCTAGATCCAAGGAGTCAATAACATATCCCCTCTACCGGGATATGACTAGAAATAATAAATCGCAAAATGAAGCCGTTGTTGTCTATACTAATAAAAATCTCACTGTAACCGTAGAGGAACCGCCCCTAACAGACTCAAACTGCCTACAAATAACTATCAACCATAACAAATTATATTGGTTATATATCGATCTCCAGCGACAAAAGACATTGCCCCATTTCTCAACTCTCTGAACGACGCGTTAATTAAAATAGACCGCGACAATAACATAATAATTATAGGTGATCTCAATATAAACATAGGCGAGAACTCCCAAGACCCTAATAAAAACAACTATCTAACACTACTAGCGTCATTCGGACTATTACCGGCACATGCTTTACCAACGGCTATCCAACTGTCAGGACCATATAATGTTGAAGACGAAACTCCCAGCCAAGACCCTCGTGGCACACACGGCCATCACTGGCCACGAAACCTCTCAAAATATGCACCAAAACCAATAGCTCTCAAAACCAGTAACCAAGTAAATTACGAACAAATATTAACTGACTTATCCAAACAAGACTTCGCCGCAATATACAATATGCAAGAACCCAATATTGCTACAGACTTTCTTATTAGCTCCATCAAGTTGATAATAGAGACTACTACCAAAGTAGTCAAACCAACCAATCGCAAAAAACTAATAAAACCGTGGGTCACGCCTGGTCTTCTTCGCTGCTTAAAACATAGAGACAGCATGGACAAAGAACTAAAGAAACACCCCAATGACACAATTCTCGCAACGACCTATTCGCGCAATAGAAATTTCTGCACTAAAATCTTGAAACAATTAAGGAAAGAATACAATAAAAACGAACTACTACATTCTAGGAAAAACACCAAAATACTGGCAAACAATTAATAAAATAACCAATAGATACACAAACAAAGCCGGTGCTACTAATCTCCTTTTCCTCGCACCTTCCCCAGATCGTTGACGTTGACGTTAACAGTTGACGTGATCAATGACTTCTTCGTTAATATTGGTAGGACGCTAGCTGGAAAAATACACCCAAAGTCCCGAAGAGCTAAGACCACGACTGAGACTCCTTGTCACTCAATGGTCCTACTGTCTGCTGACGAGGAGGAAGTAATGAGAGTAGCAATGTCCCTGCCAGGTAACTGTGCGGTGGGATGGAACGATATTCCAGCAAGCGTAAAGCAAAACATACTTGCTACCTGACGTTGACGACCGGATGGCGTAGTGGTTTGTGTAACGGTCTGCTATTCCAAAGGTCGCGGGTTCAATTCCCGCTCAAGTCAAACATTTGTGTGCATGAACATTTAATGTTTGATTTGGTCTGGGTGTTTCTATGTATAATATGTATGTATTTACAAAAAAAAAGTATATATGTATTTATATCAGTTGTCTAGTACCCATAGTACAAGCTCTGCTTAGTTTGGGACTAGATGGCGTTGTGTGAATGTAGTAAAATATATATATTACAGTAAAATATATTATAAAAAAAAAATATTGTCCCACCATTGACACATATCTGCAATTTGTCCCTAACAACTGGCCTTTTCCCCAAAGCATTAAAAAAAGCTATAATACACCCCATCAATAAGGCGGGCAACAGAGACCAAGTCACAAATTATAGGCCAATCGCTGTCTTGTCATCTTTATCCAAGGTACTCGAGCGCATAATAAATAATAGACTGACAGCCTATCTTGAGAAGAACAACATCTTAGCCACATTTCAGTACGGATTCCGCGTAGGCAGGTCAACAGGCGACGCAATTCATGACCTTACCAACCATATCACAAAAAAACTGGATGAAGGCCAAAAAGTCCTGGGTATCTTCCTCGACATGGCCAAAGTGTTCGATACGGTCTCTCTTGCCGTCCTAATAGTGAAGATGGAACAAATGGCAATTAGGGGAACCCAGCTCAAATTATTCACCGACTTCTTCAGTGATCGTACACAGAGCGTTAAGGTAAATAAGTATCTGAGCAACGAAATTTTTACTACACACGGCGTCCCACTAGGCAGCGTAATCGCGCCGACGTTATTCCTTATCTACATTAACGATTTCTGTACGCTTAACCTACAAAACGGATTTTTTTTTACCTTCGCAGATGACACGGCTCTATCGTTCCATTCTGATACATGGACAAATGTATATGAGAGCGCCCAGAGGGGCCTTAATATCGTATCGGAAGGGTTGTATAGCAATATCCTAACATTAAACGCTGAAAAAACCAAATATGTCCCATTTGCGATGCGATGCCCCCCACCAGTGACCACCACTCACCTCATCACTGCGCACACGTACCTTAACCCGTATAGTTTAGGCTGCACATGCAAGCGGAATCCGTAACCGCACAAAACCATCATGTAACAGTCTTAAAAGTCTCATACTACCTACCTTTCCGCTACCCAACTGAGGACCTTTCTAAGGAGACCAAAGTTCTAACTGTACGGCAACTATTTATTCTTTTCACAGTCCTTAAACAGCACAGGCTCCTGACCTATAACCCATCTTCTCACCAGGGAAAAAGACGTTACAATCCTGCCGATGCTAACAAACACCACTTTAATACCCGCTTCACCCACCGAATGCCAACACACACACACACACATAAACACACACACACACACACACACACAACCGAATGCCAACACACACACACACACATACACACAACCCCTGCGATTGCAATCGGGGAACCAATATTCCCCGATTGCAATCGCAGGGGACTTTAACTCCTGGTCAGTCGACTGGGGTAGTAAGGAGACGAGCGCACGAGGAAGGCTACTACTGGAGGCAATGACCAGCCTGGATGTAGTGTTATTAAATACTGGAGATAAACCTACTTTTGTCCGAGGAGAAGCGAATTCCATTGTTTACCTAACCTGAGTCTCCAGCAGTCTAGTTAATTGAAACTGCTCTTGGGAAGTGATGGACACCTACACAGTCAGTGATCACTGTGCACTATTGTGGGAAGTATCCTCCGAACAAAGCACTGGAAGAGAACACAGGAAAACTAAGACAATTGGTTGGAAGATAAGTGCCTTCGACCTTGAAGTATTCATGGTGGCTCTTAATAGTGAACCAATCAGTGATGGAAATGCAAAAAATATGGCAAAATATCTGATGAAGAGAATTACAGAAGCCTGCGACACTGCCATGCCCAGGAAACGTGCTGTGATCCGGCTTTCTTCGATGCATTGGTGGAACGAGGACATCAGAAACCTCCGGAAAAAGTGTCTTAAGGCGAGAAGAACAGCACAACGCTGTAGGAAAAGACCAAACTATGAGGAAGTGGTGGCAGTATAAAAAAAACTCGCCAAAGACTAAACAAAGCCATTAAAGACAGCAAAAGACGATGTTGGAATAAGCTGATTCTTGAGGTAGAAGACGACCCATGGGGCAGACCGTATAAGGTAGTCATGACTCATCTGAAAAGCCAGCTAATGCCATCGCCCACTTGTCCTAAACTGAAGAGTTTAGGACAAGTGGGCGATGTCTAAGGACAAGATCGTTGCCACGCTGTTTCCTCACCAAATGCAACTACATCGTCAGATAGAGCAATATGAAACAGTCCGAAGCATGTTCTAGAGTAGGGAATACGAAAGCTCCGGGCCTAGATGGAATTCCAAACATTGCACTAAAAGCTGCCATTAAAGCAGAGCCTGCAATATTCCTTGACGTTTATAACAAGTGCCTCGCAGAAGGTACGTTCCCATCGATGTGGAAACAGCAGAGATTAGTCCTCCTCCCCAAAGGAAAGAAACCTCCGGATGAACCAACATCCTATCGTCCGCTTTGCATGTTGGATACAGCTGGCAAAATACTCGAACGCATATTACACAGAAGGATCTAAGCAGCAGTTGAACCGCTTCTTTCCAGGAGCCAATACGGCTTTCGAAAAGGACGCTCTACCTTGGATGCAATTAGCGTTGTCGTCAATACAGCTAAGGACGCAATCGCCGGAACCAAATGGAAGGGAGGTACTGCCTGGTAGCAACGTTAGACATAAAAAATGCCTTCAATTCCGCCAAATGGGATTGCATTATGAAAGCTCTTTACGAAATGAAGGTACCAGGATACTTACGAAGGATGGTTGCAAGCTACTTCTCTGACAGGATCCTAAAATATTACACAAAGACTGGTCCGAAAACATTCAAAGTCACTGGAGGAGTACCCCAAGGCTCAGTTCTAGGCCTAAGTATGACGGATTATTAAAACTAGAACTTCCAAAAGAAGTCAAACTCGTAGCATATGCAGATGATGACGCCGTAGTGGTCGTTGCAAAGCATTTCGAAGCAATCACCTTCGCATTTGATGCTACCATCGAAAAGATTAGCCACTGGATGAAAACAGTTGGACTGCAGTTGGCAGAACACAAGACTGAGGCAGTACTCGTTACTGGCAGGAAGCGGTTGGAAACCATCACACTGCAAGTCGGAGCACATGAAAGCACATCCCAGCCGTCTCTTCGGTATCTGGGCGTTATGATTGATGCCCGACTCAACTTCAAGCAGCAGGCACAACACAACAACAGGTGGGCGCCAAAGCGTCGGTGGTCAGAGCGACTTTATCAAGGCTGATGCCCAACATAGGAGGTCCGAAGCAGAGAAGGAGGGCGTTACTCTCGTGCTTCCTGTACTTTGAAAAATTGCACCAGTATATCGGCTAAGTGCTTTAAGAATTGCCAGTGCTTTTCGCACAGTGTCTGACGACGCTGTGAACGTCATTGCCGGGATGCTGCCAATTGAAGTATTAGCCGAAGAACGGAAAGCCAAAGGTAAAGTAACGACCACACTGAGCCCTGGAGAACTTGGCAAGGAGGAACGGCTAAACAGCATACGACGATGGCAATCGAAGTGGGATACCAGTACAAAAGGCAGATGGACCTACCGTCTTATTTCACAAGTTGATGTCTGGGTAAACCGTAATCATGGTGGGGTCAATTACTACCTGACACAAATGATCTCAGGATATGGGTGCTATCGGGCATACCTCTATAAATATAAGTGCTTAGGCGACGGATAAATATAAAGATGACGTGCTGGTTATAACGTGTTTATTGTCTCGTATCTATACACGGAGTGTCTTACAAGACTTTATATCCAGTCTACAGTACATTAAGCTGCGTGTGCACTTTATTCTGTAGGTACAGTCACGTACAGCCGCTACAGGTATTCCCCCCCTTTTAAAAAACATAATAAACCCAAAAAACAATTATAAAATACAATATTTCGTACATCAAATATAAAGTACATTAAACGTACATCAAAACATAAGAGTTCACATGGTTAATTTACAAGTCAGCTTATTCCAGGTGCAGATACTTCCTCGTGGCGGCCATCGGAGTGGGAGTTCTCTCGCTCGATAGCCTGATTGCGGCTATCGTGCGGAGCGGGATTGCGTGGAACTCTGCCGTCTCCTTCTGCGAGCAAGTTATGCTCGCGAAGGAGACGGCGGAGCGGGACCGGGAGAGGTTTAGGACTCTCCCGGCCCGCCAGGCCCGGGAACGGGCCAGGTACCGCAGGCGACTCAGGCGCCGGAGGTCGCTGAACGACCTCCGTCCTCCATAAGCGCAGGCCTGGGGGTGACAGGTGAGGCCATCTGTCACCCTAGCAGAAGCAGGCCGGGGTGGCGGCGAGCGCGTTGCGAAGCGCGCTCGCTTCCAGGGAGCACAGGGAACATGGGGTTCCCACACGGGGGGGGGTCGTCTACTCGTCTGTAGATTACCCGAGGTATGTCAGGGCACCAGGGACTTCCTTTTTAGGGTATACCTGGTTCCCCGGCTATTAGTACCCAAGACGGCGTGCGATTTTAGTCGGTTCGAGTCCGACATGCCACCGAGAGGTGGTATCCGAGAGGATTTCCGCACGGAAAAAAAAAAAGAGGCAGATACTTGATAGTTGTGTGACTGCACGGATGGCGTAGTGGTTTAAGCGGTCGCCACGCCGCTTCCTACTACGCCGAGTGTTGTGGGTTCAAACCCCACATGGGACGACACTTTGTGTGATCCACAAATTGTTGTTCTGAGTCTGGGTGTTCTTTGTGTCCGTTTCATGTATGTTTGTAAAGTCCCTCGCGACACAGGATTTATTCCTAATGCGGGAGTTGTCTTTTTAAAAAAAAAAAAAAAAAAAAAAAAAATAACAATCGTATCGTGTTAATAGCACCTGACAATTTCGTCATAGGTAGCAAGTACAAACAACATGTCTAAACAATCATCTTAAAACTAAACACATTACACAATTACACACAAGCATAATTCGCTATCGGTTGTTGACCAACCTTGTCCATTTGAATGGTTGCCACGGCGGCGACCATCTCCTTCCGGGCCCATTTTTTAACGCTTAAGTTGCATTTTTTATACAACACACAGATGAATATCACTAACGCCACTATCAGGAAACTGGCTAGGTTTTAACTTACTAATCACGTCTCGTAATCTTTCTACATATTGACTCTGATCTAAAACTTTTTTAACTAGAATCGGTATAGAAATCCCCTGGCAATCGTAATGACGTTCCGTATGTCATTTGTGCCGCGCTCACCCCCGTATCGCTTCTAGTAGCCGTACGTAGGCCTAACAAAACTATAGGTAGCTCTTCTACCCATGTGGAGGAGTCTAAGCGAGCCATAAGCGAAGCTTTCAGCGAGCGATGCATTCTCTCGACCATACCGTTCTGTTACACCCCGTCGATGTAGGCATTAGGGCTGACTAACAGACCCTGGTCTTGCTGAGCCAGCATTGATAAAACCGATGTATAAGCCCTGAGCGCATCGGAGCGTGAGTCTTCAATCGAACTCGGTTCGGGTCGGATTCATTATTCTAATTCCTAAATATTTCTATTTCCTTTATTTAATTCAAATAAATAACCTTCAGTGTTTTAAATACTTTTTTTTAAAAAGCTAACTGCAAGGTCCCGCATAACATTTTTGGTGGCAGCGGTGGGATTTCGAAAATCCCTCACCCAAATACGTCTCTGAAATCAACTCGTAAATTGTGTTAAAAACCCTAATGAAGTGCTAAACCCAGTTTCCAAAAGTGAGTGCAGATAAATACTATACTAGTCGATCATTTCGTATGACCAACTTGTGCAAGTGCTTTAAGTGAAGTCTGAAGCTGATTCATACACGGAAGTCCGTGTTATCCAGCTGTGTGTAACTACTGGCTGCAGACCAGACGAGCATCTCATCATGATCCTGTTCCTAAGTGCGCTGTTCCAGTGAGTCAAACATCATAAATCGCTATAGAGAATTTCCAACTGAACTCAAAGCCACACTCAACAACGTAACTGCATTTTTTTTGTACAATCCTAATATTAACTTTAATATAATACAATATCATATTATTAATCCTTTCTATCGCTGTAGAATTGTAGACTAAATACTGCAATCAGATTGTTTATATTAACCATCCGGACACCGTGCAGTGACGCACAGATAAGGTCTCAATTCTTAGTTCTAAGCTAGCTTAGTGTGGATAAGATTTTTTACATACATTATTTTTGTTATTAATCTATATCTTGTGTTGTATTCTACTAAATCGTCATAATGACAACCAGGAGTGATGCCAAACAGGAAAAACCCGAAAAAACTACTAGTGTTCCCAGCGACGGTTCTACGTCACGCGTAGAAACAATAGAAAAAATAGAATTAAATGTTCTACTTAAATTCATAAAACCATTCGACGGGTCCAGAGAAAAGTTAAACCCATTTATTTCCAACTGTCAGAGTGCGTATAACTTAGCTAACAAATTCCAAAAACCAATACTATTCAAGTACATACTAAGCCAACTAACTGATAGGGCCGAAAGTACGTGCAGTATAAAGGAATTTGAATGTTTCGAACAGTTCATAGAATTCTTAAAACAACAATTTGGAGACAGGAAGCATTATACTCACCTACTTTTCGAATTGCAGGAATGTAAACAAGGTTCAACAGAAACGGTAAACCAGTATGCTCTTAAAATTGAGACAATATTGTCTAAATTACTCACTGAAATTAAAATGTCAATTAAAAAGAAAACGGAAATGGCGGGCCGCGTTGCAGCAATGGAGGACCTCGCGTTACACACATTCACCGTAGGTCTCCACCCACGACTCTCCCAGATAGTGCGTTGTCGTGACCCTGATTCATTAAATTCAGCTGTAGGATTTGCAGTAGCCGAAGAAAAAATATTATCGGCCTCTTACAGGAAAGTAGCCTTACCAAATTCCAACTACGCCGAAAGGACCAAATTCACTCCTAAACGTGATTTTCAAACGCAGTTACATCGCCCCCGAAACACACAAAATCCGCGACCCGACTTCACAAGGAAAATAAACACGGGGGATCTAGTCTGCCGTTACTGTAAGAATATAGGACACGCAATTGAAAACTGCCGTAAACGACAGTATAATAATAGCCGATATCAACCTAATACTCCGACTCCAAATAACTTGCCTCAAAATCCACCTCACAGAACCTTTACCGTTGACTGCTCAGATGATACGGGAGTTGATGAAGTCGATCACAAAGAACATTTAAACTATTAAAATTTCCCGTCCGGTATCGCCCGGGAAATTACCCTTACAAAATCAAAGTCGGTACCTCTAACCCCTCTGTATCCACTGTATCTAAAAAGTCAAATAAAAACGACATTTCAACCACACATGCTACAACATACAGTAATTCAAAATCACTGAATCCTCTGAATCCTACTAAATCACTGAATCCTCTGAATCCTACTAAATCACTGAATCCTCTGAATCCTACTAAATCACTGAATCCTCTGAATCCTACTAAATCACTGAATCCTCTGAATCCTACTAAATCACTGAATCCTCTGAATCCTACTAAATCACTGAATCCTCTGAATCCTACTAAATCACTGAATCCTCTGAATCCTACTAAATCACTGAATCCTCTGAATCCTACTAAATCACTGAATCCTCTGAATCCTACTAAATCACTGAATCCTCTGAATCCTACTAAATCACTGAATCCTACTAAATCACTGAACCCTACTAAACCACTGAATCCTCTGAATCCTACTAAATCACTGAATCCTCTGAATCCTACTAAATCACTGAATCCTCCGAATCCTACTAAATCACTGAATCCTCTGAATCCTAACGAATCTTCTTTAGAACCCCCCTCCTCCAATCCAGAAGCAGAATTTCCACACCCACGAATTCTGAAACAAAAGGAACGTAACATTCGAATTTATGAAATTAATAAAAACACAGAGAAAAGATACTTACCACATGTCATCGTCCAAACTCCTGTCTCAGATAAACCCCTTTCTTTTCTAGTTGACACGGGTTCTTGCGTAAGTTTAATTAAATCAAGTTCTATTTCTAAAATGCCAAGGTTAAGTAATGTTATTATTACACTTAAAGGAATCGATCCCGGTGACGAAGTAACACCCACATTGGGGAGCTTTAAAATGCGCATATTTAATAATTCAATGAAACTTCATGAATTTCATGTCGTCGATGATATAAGCCTAAGTCACGATGGTATAATCGGAAACGACCTACTTAAGAATTTTAGTTGTCAGGTCGACTACAGTAAAAGAATATTACAAATGGAAAATGATTCAATGAACTTAAACTTCTCTGAACCACTCTATACTATACCTCCCCGCACAGAAACTGTAATCGAATGTACTGTTAGTAACCCCGAAATCTTGGTAGGAGTAATTCTAGATCAACACATTTCCAATACCCTATTAATTGCAAACTGCATTGTCAAGGTTAAAGAGAATAATCGCGTTAACATAACAATAGCCAATACTTCGGAGGAACCTGCCGTTCTTCATTCTGACCTCAACCTTACTTTAGAAGAATTACGCGTTCAACCTTACTCACCTCTTTATAAATCATTACCAAGTCCCAATTCCCTCACCAGAACCAATGAAGTTATCAAACAACTCAGAACCTCCCATTTGAACCGTGAAGAAACGGAAAGCCTGTTACAAGTCTGCTCTGATTATTCTGATATCTTCCATCTCCCAAACGAACAACTTACCTTTACTACAGCCACT